ATATATAAAATTATTAATTATATACTTATAATTATACTATTAATTATATTTATAAATATACTTATGATTATTTTTCTATGTATTTTTCTATGTTTTTGTAAAATTTAATTAATTTTTTAAAATTATTTTGTAATATAATTTATAAGCAAACCATATATAATAATTATGTTATACTCAATAATACAGAAAAATAATATACTTTGTAATATTATTTAATTAAAATCAATTTCAGTTTATATAATAATTTTAAGTTAATAATAAGATTTTTTTATTCAGATACTTTATACAAATTTATTTAATTAAGAAATTTTTTTTTATTTTGATAAATTTGAAATCATGAAACAATCTGTATAATTGTAATATATTTTGTATAATTTTTGCATATATTTATATACATATTTATAATTATTGTCTTTCAGGTTACAAAAGGAGAAACATTAACCTAAATAAATTATTAATGAAATTTGTAATATTTTATGATTTTTATATTTATTGAAATTATATATGAATAAATATACAATAATGATAACAATATATATTACATTCTAATTATAAAGTCTATTATATGTATTGTTATGTATTTATATGTATTAAATGGAAGGAACACTAAAAAAACTATTTGGTATATGCTTAACATAAGGTTCTGATGATGGCTTATTTTTTGACCATTCATACCAATTATAACCTATTCCATCTTGCGAATAAGCCATACGATATTCTAAAGCTTCTGGAGTTTCTTCATCATTGGTTTGACATTTACATATAACTGAACCAGCAATTGCAAATGCTATTACTGGAATAGTATAAGCTAGAGGCATAAATTTCCGAACTAATGGAATAGTACTCAATACTGTAACAAATATTAAAATTTCTTTAAGATATTATTTATTATTAATGAAATTATTTTCATTAATGAAACATTATTAAATTATTATTTTAATTAATATTATTAATATTATTAAATTATTATTATTATAAATTATTAATGAAATAATTATTACATAACTATTATTATTTTAAATTTGATTTAAAAATTGAGAAAACCAATGAAAAACAGGAACACATATGTATTATTTTTGTTTTTGTATCAATTTTTTTTATTTCATTTGTTTCATAATTCTTCTAATATAATTTAATATTTATAATCATATATATGAAAATAAATATGATTTTATATTATATATTTTATATTATCTATATAGTTTCTTTATTCATATTATTTAAATAGTTTCTTTCAATTTGTTTTCCTCTAAATATACAAAAATATAAAAAATATCTATTTTTCCATTTTGAATTATAAATCATCTTAGATAATTTTATGAATTAAAAATATATTTTAAAAAATCTTACTTCCTACTACGTTATTGACTGCATCATCTTTTCCCCTATAACGTTTTGATATTAAAGAACCAGTTAAATAAAAGAAACCTATACCACAGATTGGAAATGCAGTATGTATCATTCTTCCAAATGTAGCAGGGGTATCTAATGTACCACCCTTAATACCTTGAAGTGTTATTCCACCACATAAACCAATAAGAAGGGGATATTTAATTTGTTTCATATGTTGTAAAATTGAATTTTCTTTTTCATATTTACTATTCATAGTTTATAAATCTGAAAAAAAATTTTGTTCTTAAAAATTAATATAATTGTCTTAAAAAAATTAATAAAATCTATTTTAATAATAATTGGCAAATTATATACTTTTTAACTTCTTATAAATTATTATATAATAAATATAAAATACTTAAAAAACTTAAACTTATAATTAAATTAATATATTTAAAATATTTATTATATTATATTAATGAATCAAATATAATCGTTGAATCAATATAATAATTCTTGCTTGATATTTTTTCTTTCATACAATTAGATATGAAATCAAATAATCTTGAAAAAGCATTGATTTTTTCTATTTCTTCTTTTTATATAATTTTGTAATAAAACTTCAAATTTATATTCTTATATTGATAAAATATTGACAATCTCAAAAAAAATAAAGAATCCTTTATATTCTTTCATATTACTAACAAAATATCATTATTGAGCCTTTAAAAAAGAATATATATGTAATTTAATAAATATAATAAATATTATTAAAAAAAATATTTATAAATGAAAAAAATTATATTAAATGTTTTACAAATTAATATTATTTGAAATATTATATGATCTTTTTTACTTTGTGCAAAAAAAAATAAAATTACTTAATTTTTTTATATAATTTTTTAAACTATATAGTATATTATCATAATACTTAATTAACAATATCATATGTCATATTTCTTAAAAATTTTTCCATATTTGTTCCTTAAATTCTACTTTTATTTTATTGAATTAAAAATATATTATAATTATTTTTAAATGAAAAAGCATAAATAGAAATTTTAATAATAATAAATTAATTTATATATATATTAATTAATATAAAAAATATGGTTAAAAAAATAATATGTTAACATTACCTATTGTATTATCCAGTACTGACAGATATATACGATATATTATATTTCTAAATTACGTAACATAAATGAATCTTAAAATAGATTAATAATTCATCATTAAATATTTAATTCGATTAAACTTTACTTTAGAACATTAAAACTTTCTCTGTATCTTTTAATATTTTCAATGAGTAAAAATACTAAATTTAGAAATCCACTGGTCCATCAAAAATTATTCATATATAAAGTTAGTACTTTTTAAATTATTAAGGTGCCATATTGATTTGTATTCACAATTTGTCCAATAAACGGAATCATTGCAATGGCAATGGTTATTTAGATGCCATAAGTGAAAATTGGTTGCATAAATATATGTTTTTTTTGTATAATGATTTATGTGTAAAATATATATAATTATATAATAATACAATTGCAACAATTTAATTGGAAATATTGAAAAAAAATTTATAATAACTTATAATATATATATAATTTATAATATACTTAATATAAAATATATACTTATAATATATATACTGAAATAATCAAATTTATTCTAATTAATCTAATAATTCGGAGATATTTATTTAAAAATATAAATTAATTTAAATGTTTACATAAATGACGATATCAGATTTATGCAACTATGCAAATTTGACTTATTGTTATATGACCATCATATATAAACAATTTATTTGAATTTCATGAATATTATCCCTAAATATATCCTATATCATTAAAGAATTTTTATTCAAGTTATTGATTATTAATTATTATCTATGAAGCAGTAAAATGCAGAGAGAAGGAATTATTATAAATTTTTCAGAATAATCAACAATTTGTATTGTTTTTACAATTAAAGTTATTAGACTATTAATAATTGTTTTTAATATTTATTAATTTTGTCAAACACAGTAATTTAGTGTTTTACGATTATTATCTTATATAAAATAAACAGGAAATTACATAAAATATATTTACGATTTGCGTTAAAAAGAATTTATAATTATTATAAGAATTTATAATACATTAAGGCTAATACGCAATAGATCAAAAAATTATCTTTAAATTAACTAATAAATTATTTTTTATTATATATTAAATATAATCAATTTAAAAATAATAATATTAGAAATATAATAATATTAGAGAGAAAATAAGAATTATATTTAAAATTAAATAAAATTTAAAAACTATATTTATATAACATAAATATTACTAATAGTGAAATTAAGTAGTTCCAATTATAACAATCAATTGTTACATAAATAAAACTTTTATTTCTTTAGTGTAAAGAGAATATTAATATTATTATTCTTATTAAAATATTAATAATTAATATTAATATTATTAATATTATTATTAAAATAAAATGTTACGTTCAACTTCAAATAATGTTTTAAAACAGGTATTCGTAAAAATTATTCATAAATACAATAACATAAGATATAATATTATTAAAAAAAAGTTATAATGGTTTTTAGTTATTTATATTAATATATTATATTTTAGTTATTTACATTTTAACAAATTATTATTATTATTATTTCAAACATATTTATTAATTATTAATTATTTAATATTTGTAATGTATTGTATTAATATTGTACTATAAATATTGTATTCAACATTATTTAATATTATATTAATTATTTTAGAGACAAAATTTAATACAATGTTTGAATATGCAAAAATCTACAAAAGGAAAAAATAATAAATCAACAATAAAATCAAATATTTCAGGACTCAGTGAAAAATGTTGTGAAGTTCCAAGTACACGTAAGATATATTTACATATATTATAATATATTTAAATTAATAATATTTATAGTTAATAGTTAATAAATATTTAATAGTTTTTTTTTTAATTTTTATTATGTTATTATTTATGTTAAAAATATTATAAAAATAAATTTATTACATTTATATATTAGTTTTCTTAAATAATATCTTAAA